GCCCAATTTGCTCTCTTTTGCGAGGATCTGATGACTGGAGAGCAGGAATGGGGTGAATATGGGATGGACACACCTTCCTATGTGTTTTATACAGATGGCCATACCTCAAAGACCGAGCTGAAAGAAATATTTCTTTCTTCCCCAGATAGGGAAATTGAGAGGACGGCGAGTGTAACTGAGCTCGAGTATATCGGGCGCCAGGATATGTGGAATGTAGTGAGCAATGTGCCGGGTTCTGCCTATAACTGGAATGACACCAATACCAACGTCTTTATTGGTCCCTATATATTGCAATTTGAATTGGTTTTGTGCGAAAGTGCTATCCGGGAATCCTCTAACGCGTGGCTGTCCTTGGTCTTCTTTGAATTTCATGTGACGTGACGACACGACAGACTGCCTACATATGTACTTTGATCCAGTGGCACTCTCAGCGACCTCGGGAGAGTAAGAGATACGCTAACCTCAATTTGTCATCCCAGTTCTCCCCACGGTTGTCTGCAAAGCTGTGATAAGTGTTAGGAATTGCAAGTGACAGGGAGCTCAAGCTAGCTATTATAGGGTCTCTAACACACATGACCGACCGATTCGCGCCGACGATCATGACAGATGACGTATTCGAATTCAAGCTACTTGTGTCGCCCGATCTTTCCCCCGCATTCAATGACAAAAAACTAATTTGTAGTTAGGTGATCGTCTTAGACCCGTGCGGTCAGCACAGTCGAGCTCTTGGCCGAGGCGTTTCAGCTCGCCCTCACACCCTTGATCAGCCAACAGAGACCTTTTAATCCCTCCACTACTATAGCGATGAGATCAGATATGAACACAGTGAAAGTCGGCACACAATATTCAAGATGCATAGTTGATATCACTAATTCAATATTGTGAAGTATCTTTTCTCGAGCTTTGTTGGCCTAAAAGGAAGCGCCCGACTCTAACTCTCCTAAGTAGGCCTCAATGTTGCGGCTCCGCCGAGGATCTCTTACCGAGTCGAGCTGAAGGGCTATAGAATCGTTCTATCGGGCAGGAGGGAGCAGTCGGAGTCAGGCGGCAACACCATAATGGTGCTAGAAGGTATGGAATACTGGCGGTATAAAGCACAGGGTGGTCAAGCCATCCAAAGTAACGTTGGCAAGGGTGCCGTCCCTACACTAAACTCATTTCAGCCACCCATTTTCACAGATTCTCTCCGGACAATATATGTTGTACTTGAAATGGAAGACCTCTGAATTTCCTTTTCTGGTTAGTTTTGCATTTTCGGGGTTGGCGTGCCAACACATCAAGTAATCTCCCTCTCATTAGGAAGGTCGGGAAGTCTTGGACTACTACGGAGTACCTGGAACCAAAGGTAGGAGGAAGTTGAATTGGAAAGGAGACAAAGCTCCCAACTATCTGGTTCGTGCTTTCATTCTCCCTCCTTCAAAGCCCTCCGCTGCACCCCTGCAACTTCGCCCCAATCGGACAACCCGCTTGGCCCACCCCCCTACTCTTTCAGTCGTAGACTGCGGCTGAGTCCTTGTCCCATCTTCACCTCGAATTCTTGGGATCCGGATCACCTGGCCTGACTACGCAGGTGGCGCTTTGAAGAGAATCTCTTCCCGTCTTTCCTGAAATGCATGTTCTCAAGTAATGCAGGATACGGTCTTGATTCATAGAATGTACACTTGTTTTTTACATAGTCCACTCGTTCCAGAGAAGCCTGAATTGCTTTGTCTGTGCTGCTTTCTCGATGGCTTCTCTTACCTGCCCCAATTGTAAAATAGAAAATACATGTAGCGTCAGGTTTGCCTTCGGGTTTAGTGTTCCTGGTTGCTTCCACGGTTCCGAGGTTTTACCGTCTAACCTTCCAGCTCTTTGCGGGGAAATCTGTGGGGGAAACCGGAATCGGAAATATCAGAGCTCGGGACCAATATCTCTCTTTCTTTTGTGGACCGACTGTCATAAACCCCAGACTTCCCCGTTTCCGTCACAATGAGCCATTGGTCATCGGCGAGACATCAGGACAAGCCAAGGCCCGAGGGACAGCGCCAAGAGAGCTTGGATCCCGTGTCCACACAATCAACTTCTTTTTCATTTGCCGGCGTCGCCGGTGTTTCTTTGTTCTTTTCAACGGGACACACTACCACATTGCGACAAAAAGGTTTCTAAAATTGATTTGAAATGTGACCTGCAGCCTTCCAATGTCATTCCACTGCAGCTTTTCGACTCAACATTTTTCTGTTCCGCACCGTCTTCATCAGCTGCCGACTTTCTTCACCGCATACTTCCCCGACACTGTCGGTTTCTGCTCGGTGGCCGGCCGGAACTTAACAGTAGGTTTCGGAGAGTCCCCGAACGACAACGGGGAAATGAGGAAATCTACAATTAAGTTACGGGGGCGTATACCAAATAGGTATAGTTGGCAGGGGAATGAGTGTGGAACGGGAGCCAAATTCTGGAGAGCGCCACTGATGTGAAGCCCTTTGATTGGCCAAACCGACATTTAGCCGGACTCGGCGTGGGGTACGCTTTGAACACATGGCCGATCATCCCAAACCCTATCCCTCGTGGCTCTGAAATGCCCCGGAAAAGACCGTAAGGATCATGCCAAGAAGGTTTCGGAGTCCTTTGAGTCTTGGTGAGGCATATATCTGCAATTTCTGGCGATATTGCCCAGTATTAACCGCGATTCGGAGAGCTGTAGAAACGTTTGGTCCGTTCATCGGCATTTTCAATTCTTGGGATCGGAACAAGATCATCCATGTGGTCCTTGCACGGCATATCATGTATATCACTTAGAATTATAAAGCACACTTCGCCGTCACTAGTCTATAGGCTCTAGAATGCGCTAATTTGGATCGAATAGTAGTTTACGTTTGGAATTATAGCAAAGAAACGGTTCATTTCACTATCCTATGTACAATCCAATCCTACTGCAAAGCTAGAGACAAAGGCTCATTCACTCCTGCCCGAGACTCGGAGAATTAAGGAACAACGTGGATTTAATGTTCAAGCCAAGGCTCGGCCCAGCAAGCCTTGAAAGGCTGGTGGACATTTGACCCATTCGATTGATGAACCTTGCGTCTGATACCCCATGGCACCCCCGCATGAGCCTCCATGGCGCGATATTGAAATTTCCGGGGTTGACAGACCTTGCACGCCTGCTCTCCGCACAATCCATTTTTCCTATTAAATGCGACCTCCCCCTTACAGTTTTCTCTTCTACGCCAGCCTCGAAGACCTCTGCTAAGCCCATCGTCTGCATCCAAGATCTGTTCTCGAGCCTTGCGGCGCTGCCATCGTCTCTTATACAGGTTCACGACCTCAATCCACGAGTGACCTGCCTATCCTTTCTTCGCCCGTCTAGAAACACTAAATAACATCATTCATCATGGCGGGTGGTGCTGCTATCAACGTCTTCAAGTTTAACACGGGCGGTTTGCCCAAGGAGACACTCAACTTCAAGCTATGGTTCGCCGTCTTTGCATTTGGTCTCATGGGCGCCGCCCGTGGTGTCGACGAGGGTCTCATAACGGGTGTCTTCAACTCCCACGCTTTCAAGAGCTCTGTCGGCATTGACGACCTCGACAAGGATGACCTCGCCAGTATCAAGGGCACTATTTCCTCGATGGTTCAGCTCGGTAGTGTCGCTGGTGCTCTTCTGTAAGTCTTGCTATTGAAATACATTGTCCTCGTCAAGCCCGGGAGCCTTTGCTAATCATGGTTGAATAACAGTGCTTTCATCGTTTGCGATCGTATCGGCCGTGTTTGGGCTACTCGCCAACTCTGCGTTCTCTGGATTCTCGGCATCGCCATCTTTATTGGAAACAACGGCAACATGGCTGCCGTCTACGCTGGTCGCTTCATTGCTGGTCTTGGTATTGGACAGACTTGTGTCGTCGGTCCCATCTACCTTTCTGAAATTTCCCCCGCTCCCATCCGTGGTCTCTGTACTTGTATGTTTACTGGTGCTGTGTACCTGTGAGTTTATACTCCTCTTCTTCTTCTCTATTTCTCGCTTTCCGGTGCTAATGCTAAGTCCAGTGGTATCATGATTGCCTACTTTGCCAACTGGGGTACTCAGATTCACATGGCGGATACCTTCAACCGCTGGGTAAGTGCTGACCATTGCACTCGTTGTCGTACTGATCTGGCTAAAACATCCTCCCCTACAGGCTGTTCCTACTTCGCTCCACCTAATGTTCGCCGGCATCATCCTGATCCTCACCTTCTTCCAGCTGGAGTCCCCCCGTTTCTACATCAAACAGGGCAAACGTGAGAAGGCCCTCGAGGTTCTCTGCCAGCTCCGTGGCCTACCCGCCCACCACCCGTACGTCCTCAACGAGATCTCCGAAATGGACGTTGCCTTCCAGGAAGAGATGGAGGCCACGCTCGGCATGGGCTGGAAGGGCCTGTTCAAGGAAATCCTCGGCATCAAACGCAACGCGTACCGTCTGTTCCTCACCAACCTAGCCCAGAACATGGCCTGTTGGTCCGGTGGCTCCGCCATTACGGTATATGCGCCTGATTTGTTCACGCTCGTCGGCATCACCGGCCAAGAGCAGTCCCTGTTCTCGACCGTCGTCTTCGGCGTCGTGAAATTCGTCGCCGCCATCATCTGCGCTCTCTTCCTAGTCGATATGGCCGGTCGTAAGCGCTCCCTCATCATTGGAATCGTCATCCAAACCGTTGCCATGTTCTACATTGCCATCTTCCTCAACCTCGTCCCCATTGCCGAAAACCCCGACTTCGTCCCCACGGAGACGCAGAATCGTGCATCGACCGCAGCCATCGCCTTCATCTACATTTCCGGCGTCGGTTGGGCCCTGGGATGGAACAGTGGTCAGTACCTACTGTCCTCAGAGCTGTTCCCTCTTCGTATTCGTGGTATCTGCTCGTCCATCACCATGGCCATGCACTTTATTTGCCAGTACGCTGTCAACCGTGTCCTGCCAGAGATGCTGCTCGAGGATACAGGTCTCGGTCCTCACGGGACCTTCTACTTCTTTGGTGTCATTTCCATTGTTGGTGGTCTCTGGGTTTGGCTCTTCGTGCCCGAAGCTGCCGGTCGTAGCCTCGAGACTATTGACAAGATGTTCGACCTTCCCTGGTACAAGATCGGTCTGTACGGAAGGAAGTTTGCCGAGGAGTACGACCGCGAACAGGAGGAGATTTATCGCGACGAGAAGAGGGATGCCGGAATTGTTGTCTCTCACAACGAGACTGCCTAGTCTTTCTAAGTTAACTACAATTGTATGTCTTTTGGAGTGACATGTCTACGATATACTTCTCAGATCTGAATATATACATCTCGAACCTGTTGAAGGCAACTTCAGTATCAAGTAGTGGAAATATTGCATTAAAACTGTTGGGATTTTGATATACATAAATGCTGCGGTGGGGACGGATATATATAAAAGAATTTGGTTCTGAGCCGAGAGTCTAGATAATAAACAAAAACAGACACATATTTAGATAGAAGAGAGAAAACATAACGTCTCCAACATGTCTATACTACAGTATAAGACTTTCTCGGCTTGCACATGCTCCACCCTCCCTCCCCCCGTTAACTCACCAACTGGGTGGATTCCATGACGCATTTTGTTCCTCCTGCCAGGTCCCTGATCTACCGCAAACCCTGCAGCTCCTGTTCAAGCTCCGCCTTGACGATCTCCTTAACACCCTGCCATCCAGCGCTTTCGCCGACGGGGGTAACCCGACTCTCACGCTGCTCCAGACCAATGAACTCCTGGGGCAAGATCTCCGTGAAGTCATAGCCATCCTCGCCACGCAGAGCAAGGTCCACAGCACCGGCGAACTTAGCCGGGTGGGCAGTGGACAGAGAGATATGGGTAGCATCGGGGTTACGCGCCATCGAGCGGCGCGTCGCAGCGACACCAACAGCAGTGTGGGGGTCGAGGATGTAACCACCAGTCTTGGAGCTCTTGGCAGAGCCGGGACCAAGCCCCTTAGGGAAGGAGGTTTTGTAGATATCACGGATCATATCGATGGTCTCCTCGTTGCTAACACGCTCACTCTCGAAATCGACCTTGGCGGCTTCGAGGACCTCGCTGGGGACTTGGAAGCCGCCGTTCGTCTTGAGCTCGTTTAGCCACCCGCTGACACTCTCGCAGGCGACGTTGCGGCGATCGGCTTCACTGCCGTGGGCTGTTTGGAAGGATAGGAACCAGAGGAGACGCTCGAAGTTGCTGCTGACGAGGATGTCCATGGCTGGGCTGTGGGTTTCCTTCACGCCGTGTTCGGAGGGGGCGTCGAGAGCCTTCTTCGTGTAGTGGCCGCCGCTGCGGAAGAAGCGGTCTAGAATGTCGTTCGCGTTGGTGGCAATCACCAGTTTCTCGATGGGAAGACCCATCGACTTGGCGAACCAACCGGCAAGGATATCTCCGAAGTTGCCGGACGGGACGACCACTCGCACCTTGGAATCCTTGTTAAACGAGGGGGTCTTGGTGAGGGAGAAGTAGGAGTAGATGAAGTAGGTTATCTGGGCCAGAATCCTGGCCATGTTAATGCTGTTGACCGCGGCGATGTTGTGGGTGGAGTTAAGGTCTTCGTCAGCGAAGAGTGACTTGACGATATCCTGGCAGTGGTCAAACGAGCCAGCCACGGTCAGGTTGTGAACATTAGGGTCCAAGATTGTTGTCATTTGCTTCTCTTGAATAGGTGAGACTCGGCCACCATCAGGGAAAAGGATGAACACTGAGACGTCCTTCTTGCCGCGAAGTCCATAGATAGCAGCTGAACCAGTGTCACCGCTAGTAGCACCGACGACGGTCAGGTGGTGTCTATCCTTGCCAGTCTTTCCAGCATTCTTTCGAACAAGAAAATACTCGAACAGGTTTCCGAGGAAACTCAGCGCAACATCCTTGAATGCAAAGGTCGGGCCGTGGAATAGCTCTAGCAGGTAGAGGTTCTTTTCGAGGAGGACGGAGGGAGTGCGCTCGGGGTGACGGAAAGTCGAGTAGGACTTGTAGATAATGCTCTTAAGATCTTCACGAGGAATCTCGTCCGTGGAGATATAGAGTGACATGATTTCGAGCGCCAAATCCTCAAAGCTCAGATCGCGCCATTCGGTCTCCCATGACTCAGGGAGGGTAGGCATCTTTTCCGGGATGAAGAGACCCCCGTCCGAGGCCAGGCCTTGAAGAACAACATCTTCAAAGGTTCTCTACAGAGACAGATTGGTTAGTTTCATGTTTGAGATCAAATTTGGAACAGTTGTTTTTCGACTCACCCCGTACTCGGCACCACGGGTACTTAGATATTGTTGCGACAGTGTAGGGGACATGGTTGCGACAGTTAATTAAATCAACAGAAATTCCTTGAAGCCGAAGTAGAGAAGAAGAGGCGGAATGATTCATCCCACCGCGGGGGAAATCTGAGTGTCCCAAAGTGGATTAGCCTCTCCATGATACGTCCCAAAATGGATTAGCGTCTCCGAGAACGGCCTTCACGTGCGTGATTTGATTGGCTCTCAGGTATATCCAGTTGGTTTGGTGTACAGATATTTTGACTCCTTCGACACTTCCGATTTCATGGGCACATCTCAATATTTGAATCATCTTGTAGTTATCTAGTTACAGGCATTTACTCGTTGACCAGCACATATCTGTAGCGGGCTTTACCATCCTCCATATCCACAATCGCCTTATTCGCATCCTTCATCGGGATTTCCTGCACCCACGGGCGAATTCCCTTTTCAGCAACAAGCTGGAACATCTCCCGGATCTCGTTAGGGCTACCAACAAGGGAGCTCTGCAACTTCAGGCGACGCATCAAGCTTCGAACAGGAGCGAACAGCCCACCATCCTCAGGAAGACCGACCTGCACAAAAGATCCACCAGTCTTCAGCAGACCCAGGTAATCATTGAAAGGCATCTTAGTAGACGAGACAGTCGAAACAATCAAATCCAAAGACCGAGCATTAACTGTAGCCCAGTCCGGCTCATCGTCAGTCGCAATATAAAGATCCGCCCCCATCTTCAGCGAATCCTCCTTCTTCCCCATCTTCCGCGAGATAGCAACCACTTTATCAGCCCCCATAGCCTTAGCAAACAACAAGCCAAAATGACCCAGTCCGCCAACACCAATAATTCCCACGCGCTTGCCAGGACCACAGCCATTATGCTTAAGCGGGCTGTAAAGGGTGGCGCCGCCACACAACATAGGCGCAGCATCAGACGAGGAGATACCATCGGGGATCTTGATAGCAAAGTGGCCGGGCACACGGTTGTACCGCGCATACCCGCCGTACGACTTACTGCCGTCGTAGTGGATGCTGTTGTACGTGCCGACGACCTTCTTGCTGCAGTAGTTCTCCTGGCCTGATGCGCACTCCTCGCAATCGCCTAGACGGCCGAGGCAGGACTCGCTCTGTGCGCCGACGCCGACCCGGTCGCCGATCTGGATGTCGGATACCTTGCTACCGACGCGCACAGCCGTGCCGACAATCTCGTGGCCCACGCAGCAGGGGTAGGCGGTGGGTCTCTGTGGCGAATGTTAGTTCTCTTTTTTTTGGCTTATACGGATATGTTATACAACGTTGTATATCAGCGAGTTTTCCCATATCGAGATCTCGCTGATACGGAAAACATAAAACATACCCAGCCACTCCGCAGAGTGTGTATATCAGAACCACAGATGCCGCAGTGAGAGACTCTGATATCAACGTCGGTCTCCTCCCACTCTTTCGGCTGGAATTCTTGCCAGACCATCTTGCCCTCTGCGGCACTAGGGTCAAGACCCATCCAGCCTTCAAATTTGTAGTCTGTTTGCGCCATGTTGCGAATTAGGGGAAATGTTCACTGCACGCTTCCTTCCCGGGGAACTGCCCGATTTATATTCTAGTCTTGGAAGCGGGACTGGTCCCGAGTCCCACTCGACTTTGCACACTGGAAACTTCGGTTTGATGAATAATTGGTAAGCAGCGTTCTTCGATGGATCCGATTTGGAGATTTGGAGTCATAAGGGCCCATAAGTGTGTGCTGTCTACATATGTTGTTATCTACTCTAGAGAAATAGGGTTTTGCTGATAACCCAGCATACCTACATATCTTAGTAGAGAGGCTCTGCTCTGTTATAGAATGGCTTGGACTACGACGTACTTACATATCTAGCTAGGTATGTACATCACAGAAATCTGTCTTGTGGTCACTGTCCAGGCGTAGGGCTTTTCTTTTTGCATTTTTCTGTGGAGCTGTGGCCTATATCGGCCGAGAAAAAGTGGAACTCCATTTGCATATCTGTAATATAGGGCTAGGTAGGTACCTATATGTATGTTATAGATGAAGGTCATACCTACAACATGCATAAACCACAAAGCTTGGCTGCATTGCCAAGATATGCTTAATCGACGTTCAAAATCGTCAAGAAATTGATATTCGAGGCAGAAATGTACAGGCCTTTTGAAGTCCGTTTAGGTAGAGATGCAGCAAAATTAAACAAGTAAAAGAAAACACCAATCTATCTCGTTCAGTTCAGATTCTCGCTTGCGAAGACACCTGGATATAACATCAGCCAGTAGGTCAGCTAGACACACTTGGCCATACCATCAATGCTATTGCTCAGAAGAGCGACAAGATGTCGTCGTTGGATTTCTTGCTCTGGGTATTTTGAGAAGGGCCCGCATTTCCGGAGAGATCAAGACCAGAGAATCCATTCATGAGATCGCCGCTGTTGGCACCACTCGACGAGGGCTGGGCAGCACCGGAGTCTCCGAACACGCCCAAGAGATCATCCAGATTGTTGCTTGCCTGTGCTGCCGCGCTACCAGCTGTAGGGGATGCTACCCGTACGGGGGTGCCAGCCAGACCCTCCAGGCCGGACATGCCGCTGGCAGGCTCGGTTTGTGCGGAGGCAGGAGCACCGCCGTCGAAATCGATGTCCAGCAGGTTCTCGACGTTGTTTTGCGCCTGCGCAGGGGCTGTCGTGCCAGTGGCGGCAGCGGCAGCAGCCGCGGCCAATGGGTTTTCGCGTGCGTTCTGGAGTTGTTCTCTGTGGATTGGTTAGCAACGTACTTGAGAACACAGGAGATTGAATACATACTCGATAGCAGCGCGCATGACGGCATCGGCACCGAATCGGCCGTGGCCGACAAACTGCTCGGGGGGCTTGTGGTAGACGGAAGAGAGAGTAGACAGTTCGGAAAGGAGTTGGTCGAGGAGCGACGGTGGCAGTGAGTGGATGGTGGTGACGATAGCCGGCTTGTCAGAGAGCACGATATTCTTTGTCGCGTTTGAATCGCTGGTGTTGGACAGAAGACGCCAGTAGATATATGCCCGGTCACGGACATCTGGGTTGTCGTTCTCGGATGTCGCAGCCTGGAGCACCCGCTGCACCAGGCCTTGTGCCTTCTCGGGCCGCTTGAGGAAGAGTTTGACCACAGATGTGAGGATTTGCAATTGGGTCTAGATATAGAGGTTAGCCAAGATGGTAGCGTGTATCAGGAGGGAATAACAAACTGAAGAGAATTCTTCGTTGAAACCATCCACAAAGCCACCCAAGATATCCCCCGCGTTGCTAATTTTCTCGGCATACTCTCCAACAATCCAGATGAGTGCCGCTCTAGCATTAGGCTCATCCAACTCATCAATGCACTGGCATAGAGTCGGGATGATACCTTCGTAGCCAGGGTATTTCCGGAAGATGTCCTTGATGACGACGATCGCTTCCTGAACTACGTAGTTCACCTTGGTATTGATGAGATCCAACAACGTGTTGACGCACCGCTCGCTGGCGCTCTCAATCTTGATGGCAACCTGGCCGATTGCCCTGACAGCTCGGCGGACAAAGTCCATATCGACTTCAAGGGCATATTCCTTCAATTCGGCGAGGAGCTGGTCCACATTGCGGTCGTTCGCTATGCGCACCATAATCTCAAGTTTCTGGAACTTGACATATGGCGGGTCATTGTATTTGCAGAAGAAAACGCGGAGTTCTTTGTTGAGAATGTCAGGCTCCTTCTGCAGCAGAAGGTCGATATTTCTTAGTGCAACATATTGCACTTCGGGGGCTGACGAAACCAATGTAACTATATAAAATTAACAAAAAAAGGACTGTAATAAGAGCAACGGGAGAGCATACCTAATGGCGGAGCCATCTTCTTTAGGTAATTCTTCGACAAGTCCGGGTTGACATTCTTCATATGTAAGAACACAGCCTTGACTGCCGCAAGAACCACACCGGAATTAACATGCTGGAATTGAGGAGCAACCCGTTCGCAAATGTGTTCCGACTCCTTCACATCGGAGGTCTTATACTCAGCCAAAGTTGAGAGAATAGTGACGCGTCCCCATTCCGTGCACTCGTTCAAAGCCATCAGCATTTTCCGTAGGGTGTTACTAGTAATCTGCAGAGCCTGTGTCTCGGGTGCCGTGTGATGAATCTCCTGAAGTGCAGTCACCGAATTGGCGACGACCATGGGGTTGGGGTCACCAATCATCTCCTGGAGCATCTCCAAGAATCCGTTCTCGAGGGCCATTGCCGGGTTCAGATCGAAAAGCTTGGCGACACAGATTGCAGCGGTCTTGCGGACATATGGCGACTCGTCTCGGAGGGTCTTGCGCAGCGGTTCTTCCATGTAGTCCACCATCTTGTCCACCCGAATACAACCCATTGTCCGGATTGCAAGCGCACGAATCAGTGGGTTAGGGTCTTCCGAGTCTTGTACGAAAGTGTTCACGGCGAGAATACATAGATCAGGGTGCGATTTGGCGTAGTTCCTGGGAGTGAGATTCGACCGATCAGCATACGTAGCCACCTTCAGCGGTACTGTGGTACCTACATGAGGTAGAGGTAGACCAATTTTTTCTGCTCGAGATCTGCTGTAGCAATGTTCTTAAGGACATCTGGGAACAAGGCCGAAACATCCTTTCCTAGGGTCATGGCCATTATTGTCTTTTGAATGGATTCCTTCCTGTTACATTGTCAGCTACCACGTCTTCGACATACACCACCAGGCCAGGCTGAAGGCTTCACTGCTGTACATACCGTTCATAGGCATACTGGGAACTATAATAATAGTTAATATCATCCGTCATTCACTATGGCGAGGTAACCAGCGCATGGTAGAGGGGGCCGCATACACAAGTCCAGCTCGCAATTCAAACGTCTCTCCTTTCCGTGGCACCGTAAAGGCGCCGCGGATCTTGTTCATCGCCATGGCGAGGATGTATAAGCTTCAGCAACGACTAGGTCGTGCCTCCGCCTAGAGATCGGTGATGGGAGTGGGAATCGAGTAGCGTTGGGCGACTGCGGGGGATTGCTTCACGGTCGCGCGAGGTCGGGGAATGGAAAGCGTCGAGATTGTTCGTCACTTTGTCCGCAAACACAAAGAAGTAGGTGAACAATCCGATGTGGGGAGATTTGGAGGAAGAATGGGGGCGAAGAAGGAGAGAAAGGGTGTTTCGGACGATCAAAAGTTGTCCACAAATGGTGGCTTTCGGACTCTCCCGCTCTAAGGTCATCAACTCTCTTTCTCCTTTATTTTGTCCTTAAATCCACATCATCGCTGTGATAATGGTATTTATTCTACGTCTCTCAACTGCCAAACTGCCACTGACACATCTCAGGCTAACCTCCCTAACTTGCGACGCCTCTTTGTCGAGGCTAGAACGGAGGCGGAGGAGAACGAGTACTCGCGAAAGGCTGTATGTCATCGAACACCCGAAGACAACTCGAGTCGGTTTTAGGATGCTAACAGGTGTAGTTCTACAATCTCGTTCTCTTCATCTCTTCTGTGGCCATCTTCAGCTTGACTGCTCAGCGCATGAGTGGACCGAAAGCTGGGCGATGATGGAGGAGACCCCTATTACCATATACTTGGACATCATGAAGTATAAAGTGTGAAGTACGAAGTAGAAAGTGATGTGGACGCACAATTCCGACTTCATCGCAGCCTCTGGTCCGACGAACTCATTTATTACGAACCCTATGCTATCCATCAATCAGTCTCTTCGCCATCACTCTCTAAGAATGCAAGCGACTGTCGCCCCCGAGCCAGCTTACGCCGAGGCTTCGCATCCTCATCATCCTCGTCACTCTTGGCACCCCATTGTTTTGCGCCCTCCTGGATCTGCTCTAGATCCGCTTTCAACTCCCGTTCTTCGCGGATCTGGTTTGCCTTTTCTTGAGATGGCCGGCCAGTCATTCCAGCATCCTCCAGCATCCGCTTGAGATGCTTGATTTTGGCTTTGGGGGTGTCATACGGCGCCAGCTCTTTACCCCACAGCTTACGTATCCCACATTTGACGAGCCATCCTTGCAGTCGTTTGATTTCAGCCTGGTCTGGGCTGATATCCTCATCCTTGGCTTTGGAAGCTTTCTTCTTGGTCTTGGTCGCAGTTTCCCCGGCGCTCTTCTGTCGCTTGCGTGGGGCCTTAGGTTGAGGCTCTTCGTCAAGCACAACCGACATCTCGCTTTCAGAATCATCCTTGGTATCCCTGGTCTCTTTGGCGGCATCTGAAGTGTCATCGGGAACATCGGAAGCGTCTGATGCATTTTTCATGGGTTTGTGTACGGAGGGCTTCTTCGCTGGCGACTTCTTCACTGGAGATTTCTTCAATGGCGACTGCATCACTGGTTTCGGTCGTTTCTTGGGCATTGAGACATCGTCACTCTCATCATTAGAGAAATCAGAAGCATCTGACATATCTTTCTTGGGTTTCTGTGCGGAGACCTTCACTGGTGACTTCTTTATTGACGCTTTCGACCGTTTCTTTGGCTTTGTGACCTCGTCACTCTCGTCGGACGGCGGGACTGATAGCTCTTCTTCCTCATCGGACACCGGCGTCTTAGTCTTCTGGCGCTTCCTAGGTTTCGGCACCGTCTCGGATTTGGCCCGCTTCGCAGGGGCGGTGGGCTTGGGCTTCGGGGGAGGAGAGGGGAACTTTTCAGGGGCTTGGGGTTGTGGATTTTGTATTGCCTGGTCTTGTAAATCCTGTAAAAGCGTTGCGATCAATATCTTGTCCTCTGAAGCTGCTCTGAAGGGACGCCGTAAATGCAACAGAGACTCACCACCTCATCCTTGATTATATTCTCACTCCGCCCTTTCCAGTCACCTGTAGACTTAAAGTACCCCTTTGCGAGACCAAGTGTAGCCTCCGCAGCAAGTCGAACGCGCTTCACGGTCAATTCCTCCATGTTCCCCGACTTGAAGATCGCAGCCACTTGGTCGCGAAGGCTCTTCTCAAGAATTTGGTCAGAGGGAGTGTTGGGCACCTCACCCTCAGCTTCAGACTCTGGGTCGGACATTGTAAACATTGTATACTTCGGCGGCATGGTTACCTCGCCCTATGACGATTGAAACGAGGTTAACGGTGTAGGAGTGAATTTGCATGAATGGTCCAGCTTCCCAGAATATATGTGGAGGAATAAGGACTAAAGAGCAAGGTAATGGATGAAAGACGTTTATGCCTTTCAATCAAACTGCGAAGCTGAGCGCGTCTGGGTTGAGCGCGGCAATGGATGACAAAGCCGGATCGAGATTGATCGGCGCCATGACTTCACTTGTATGTCTTGCTCTTGAAGCTCAGTTTCTGGATTTTTGACATATTCAAAACTCATTGACCCTAGGGATCTTGCTTGCTTATTTTTCAGTTCTGCTTACTGACTGTCGCGCCAAATATCCTTCACTACTATCTCTTTCTCACCTCCGCTGTTTCTCCGCAATTTATTAGAAATCAATCCCGAATCACTTTCACGACCCGAACCCTCCATTTCTCAAGGGACAGAAATATTTACAAGTGAAAATATGTCCTCGGTTCCACCGGAGCAAGTCAATAGTCAATATAAAGACACGGGTTCCATGTTCAACCAGCAAAACCCCGCGACCTCCGCGAGCTCCTCCAAGCCCGCCGGGGACAATGACTCGAAAGCCCCATTGCCCAAGGGCGTAGTCCTGGACAAAGACGGAAAGCCGTACGTACATACCGATGGTAGCCCGAACCACCCGATCTACTCGGCAAGCCGGGTCTATAGAACAAGCTAACATACCAATCTCACAGCTGCCGCACCTGCACCTCCGTGGCCTCGTGGCGAGCATTGACCAAGCAAGCCGACCTCAAAAGTGCAAACTCAAACTCTACCTCGTCACCCACCTCGAGCACAGGCAAAATGACAACCTCAACGGCCGGCCTCGCCGCTGCCGCAACCGCCTCCCCCAGCGAAACTCCCTCAGACTGCCCGCCAGACGTCGAAGAGCTAGGCCGCTCGACATGGACGCTACTGCACTCAATGGCAGCCACATACCCCGAAAAGGCAAATGCGGAACACCAGGCTAATATGAGCGGGTTCTTGAAGTTCTTCTCAAAGCTGTACCCGTGCTGGGTGTGCGCGGATGATTTCCAGGCATGGATGGCGCATCCGAGTGGACGGAATCAACCCAAATTAGGCAGTCGGAAAGATTTTGGGTGGTGGATGTGCGAGGCGCATAACGAGGTTAATCGGAAGCTTGGGAAGAAGGAATTTGATTGTCGGTTATGGGAGGAGAGATGGCGGACAGGGTGGAAGGATGGTCGGTGTAATTGAACTGTATGTCTATAGTGTTTTTGTTGGAGTGATCTTCTCTCTACTCCTCGGTTTGGAAATCTCCCTTGTATATTAGATATGCATATTTTGGCGAATCAACATGGACTGTACTTTTTACCACTCCTGACCAGGTAATATAGACCAATAGACTAAAGACATGACCTGCAGTTTATGCCTAGAACAGAGAGTTTTTGGACAAAACATGTTCGCATACAAACTAGATCGCTAAGCAATTATAATCTTGGATACAAAATGACATCTAGACAAGGGGACTGGGACTGTGTGCAGGAAGTTTTGTCTTTCTCCCAGCCGAAACAAATGAAAAATGAAAAGCACCGCCAAACACAACTTCTCCTCGCGCGGATGGAAATGTACCCATTTTGTAACTTCGTTTCAAGAAGAGAAAAAAGGAGAAAACCGTTATGCTTCGTCATGCGGCAATTAAAATTGACTGGGAACGAACAGACGCAGGCCGCTGGCCGGGGCACCAATCTCCGTAACATCAGATATCCGGTCGACACTTCCCTTGTACTGAGGGTGGTATTTGGCACCGGTGAAGGGGTCTGAGACACTAGGAGAACCACTGTAGATAGGAGTGTAGGAGGCAGCGCAGATGTCGAACTCGGCGAAGGGGTCGAAGTCAATATCGATCTGGTCTTGAGGGTTGCGTTCGCATTGAGCTTTGATCTTCTTGGCCTATTTCTCGTGGTTAGTATTTGTAGTTGAAGACTTAGTTTCAGGGAAAGCCTTACCTGTTCTAAAAGCTTAGCGGAGCCTCCATTAGCCAGCATCCGGTTGGCAAAGCTCAAGGCTGAGCCGTAGTTCTTGTTGGCAAAGGCCAACTTCATGGCAGCCATCAATGCCAGTTGTCGGTGGGCGACCTCGAGCTTAGGGATTGTGAAGTAGGCGGACAGCTCAAGGCTGCGCTTGAGGTTGTCAGGGGAGTCGGTGGAGAGAGAACGGCGCTCGAGTTCGATTGACATGGCAAGAATGTATTCCCGGGCAGTGGCAATGATCTTCTTGGCCTCCTCCACCTCGGCTTCGGACGAGACTGTGTTAACGAGAACAGTGTGAAGAATGCGCTTGAAGGTCGCTACACCATCCTCCAATTTGTTGGACCGCATAGCGGCATAACCCTCTTGCAAGTCAACACTGGCAACTGTGTCTAGGTCCCGGGGAATGATCGGAAGCATCTTCCGGAGTTCAGTCTCGTCGACGGTCCGGCGCACGTAGTTGACCAAAGGCGGCAGACCAGCAGTGGCTGGGAGGTAGGTCTTAGACGCCTTGTAAACCTCGAGGAAGCGAGTCTTGAGAGGAGCGAATTCAACGGCACCAACTTGGCGGTTCAAGAGCTGCATCGCAGTGTCGAAAGAACCAGCCGCGACGTGATCGGCAGCCAGCGGGGAGTTACGAGCCCACAGATCGGCCTCAGAACTGCCCGCGCCGGCTTCGGCACTTTCCACATTGACGAAATCGACCTCTTCCTCAACATTCACATCATCACCCATATCCCATCCGGAGACTTCCTCTTCGTCTTCATCAAGTGTTTCTCGGGCGACAGCAGCTTCTTGCTCCTCTTCCTCAATCTCAAATCCATCACCAGCCTCTTCATCGGCGGCACCAACCTCTCCAAGAAGAGCTTTCTCAAAGGAAGAGTGACCGGCAGCCTTAACAGGCCAGTTGGACTTGAAAGTTGGCACAATAGGGTGAGGAACCTTCAGAGGTGGTTCGAGTGTGGGTAGGACAATTTGATCTTCGGTGAGAGCAACAGCCTCCAAAATGGACTCGGCCTCTTCAATCAGACCATGTGACTTGGCAGTAAGATAGGCAAGAGGATCTGGCGAAAATTAGTATGAAAGAAATAATTGGTACCAGGGTTAATACATACACAAGTCCACTTCCTTGAACATCTGGATTCGGTCCTCGACGTCCCCGCGGTAGATGGCGTTTTGGAAACGAGAGGTGAAGTCGCCTCGGTGTTCGGCAATCTTAGCCATACGAGCAAGCTTCTCCTGGTCTCCGGTTGAGAGGTAGAGGAAAGAGAGCTTGTCGAAGTTACGCTGCTTTTGATAAGTCATTTCAACGATCTGGTGGTTACCATGAGCCAATGCCTCAGCTCCAAGCCTGCTCCAGATCTTGGGACGATCGAGTTCTCGTGCCATTTCATTGGCGACCTCGAGGTTACCACATTCAAGGGCAAGGTCGAAGCGGGTCTGGGGGTCTTGCACGAACTGCAGAGCAATCTCCGGGTAACCCTTCTTCTGCAGGTAAGAAATGATGCTCTGGCCAACCAAACTCGAGGTCTTGATAATCTGAAGCATTTCGTCGTAATTCCGCTTCACAAGGGCGAGCTTGAAACGGTATTCAGTCGGGTCAATCTCCAAGATGCGCGGCTGGGCGTTGCGGTCAAGAGCATAGACGCTGCGTCCCTTAACACGCACGAGGTACACGGTCTGGTCAAGAGTGCGGATAATACCATTGTCACCATTGAGAAGGGAGTACTTCACATGGTTAAGGGTGGAGTAGAGCAGAACACCAGCGTCATCCCAAGTAGCACTCTTGATACGAATAGTCTCGTGCAGGGTGCTGACCTGCTCGAGGGTCTTGGTCACGATGGTGACGTTGTGTTTGCTGAGCAAAGCACAGTACAACCCATCGTTAGACCACACCACATACTTCATTCCGCTGACAGCAAGCTCTGCAAGCTGCTTCTTTTGTTGAATATCGAACAGAGCAACATGTGTAGGTGTAATGAAGAGCAGACACCCGGTACCACCAAAGTAGATATCAGTCGTGCCCGCTGGGGGCTTGATTGTCTTCGTTGTGGAGTTGCTAAGATCCTTGATATCGACCTGCTGGCTCGAGGGGTTGAAGACAGCGAAGCGGTTGCGAGCGACGAAAACTGCCGAAGTGGCCTGTCCACGCTTAACATCTGTAGGCTCAACAGCTCCAGTAGCATCTCTGGGGAGATGAATCAGTTCGTAGGTTCCATTATCGGCGGGCGTGGTAACTAGAATAGCACGCTCGGCGGGGTTGTAAGAGAGGGTACGAGGAGGAACCCATGGGGAACCCAGCTTGCGCAGGGAAAGCATCGGCGGCGACTCAACATTCTTGGAGAAGTCATATGACTTGACATGCTTGTCCTTTGTGATGTAAAACAGCTGGTTCTGGTAGATAGCAGACGCAGGGCGCTCTCGCTCGAGCTTGAAGACCATAACACCGGTGTCATGACCTGCGGCAAACAGGTTCATCTCGGGGTGGGCAGCGATAACCCAGAATCGATCAAGGTCTCTCTTAAAGGACTGAACAGATGTACGCTTGTTAAGATCCCATGCGCGAATCGTCTTATCCTCGCCGACGGAGAGGATGAGGTCTTGGTGTGGGTGGAACAGCGCAGCGGAGGCATTTTGGAAATGGCCGCGGCAAGTATCGACTTCCCACGCCTTGGTATCGCTCATTCGCCAGAGCTTAACCAACCGGTCGTCACCGGCCGACACGAGTAAGGGCAGTGTGGGGTGGAACGACACCCAGTTAACTCCACGGTCATGACCTTCCAGCACAAACTTAACCACTGCATCGGTGTTTCCAAACATATCAGCTTGATTTGGGTTGGCTCTTGCCATTTGATCTTCGAACGAAATCGAGGTCGGGGCCGAGTGCTTCTTCCGCAGGCCGGAGATGTCCCAAATGCGAACCGACTGATCCAACGAGGCCGAGGCAATGAGATCCTCTGTGGGGTGGAATTGAGCGCACATAACATAATGGTTGTGACCGGTCATCGTACAGACTAAAGACGAGCCGAGGCGTTAGTCAATGTTAATATAGGTAGCTCCAATGCATCTTACTGAGTGAGCGATTCTGCCAGTTCCAGATTCTGATGGTCTGGTCGTCGGACGCAGACAGAATCCAGGGCAGCTCAGGGTGGAAGAAAACCGTTCGCACGTAATCCAGGTGGCCATTCAATGTGAACAAGCACCTCCGGGTCTGGTAGTTCCAAACCTTGATCTTGTAATCGTCACCTCCTGACACAAACAGGGGCTGGGTTGGGTGGAAGTCAACACCGCGAACTGGGCCATCGTGTTCTTCGAATCGGTCGATAAGAGTTCCCATGCGGTAGTCCCACAGTTGGATGGTAGAGGAGTGGAGGGAGACAAGGATCCATGGCCTGTTTAGAGGTCAGATTGGGTGTTTTGAGGTGTTAGGTGTCCCTCCGCGGGATTGACTAACCGTTTGGGATGGAACGCGATTCCTTTAGCTCTGGAGGATTTCGACTCAAACTGTAGAAGGAAGATGATAATTAGCCTCTGCAATTGAGTCCCATTGTCCGGTGGCGCATTAAGATGTCCGAGGGGGGCGTACCTTGGTGAGCATGTTTGGGGAGGACTGCATTTTGAAGATTTGGCCGGAGCCGCACTGTAAAGTAGCAAGCTCCGCACACTAGAGAGCAATATAAGGCAGAGGCGACCACCGCATCCACCTGAAAGAAAGAAAAGAGCGAAAGGTAATCACTTGGTGCTGGTGTTGGTGTAGCAGTAAACTAAACGTGGACTCTATTGTGGAAGCGAATGACATGGGCCAATCATGCTGCCGGGCGGTGAGCGGTCAGGTGGTAGCTGGTCTCGATCTTTACTCTGTACGACGTTACTGGAGATGGTTTTTTAGATCGGGTTTTGAGGTGGAAATGTTCGATCTATTCTCATATTATGATTGAATTATTATGGATCCTTTTTTTTGACTATGCATCCAAAGTGCAACTTCGACAAGTGGAGATATATCCTGTTCCCCATCTACCCCCACGTTAGAAGCATCTGGAAGGCCATGATGTTATAACGGCCTTCACTTTCGGAGTTCCATTCTCCTACGCTTTTACTAGTCTCTTGTTATTCTCAATCTTTTAATAGCATATGTACATCTCCTTGATCACACACCCCGTCATTCTTTCCAGTCTTCCAGTCTACCTTGCCGATGACCGGAATGTTAACACCGTTGGATTCAAGGCTTGATATAGAAGTATGGAAGACCTCCCAATGGATGACACGGGTCCTGCCAAGCCAGACCAGCCCTTTGAATACTTCACCGGATTTCCTTCTTTCGATGCTGCAGCAGACCCCCAGCCGGAGGAAAGTGAGCTGAGCATGGACGGCTCAGGACCCTCAACACCTACCCACGAGACGGATCCGTTCGAGGAGAGTGATGAGACTCGAGTCATCAAGCCATACGATATTGAAGAGCCCGACGATGAGTTAGAAACTAGCGTGCCAAGGGTAGATCTACTACGTCTCCCAGATCGGTTCGAACGATGGCAGCGCGAGTTGACGGACTACCTAAATGGCCTGGAGTACGAACGCGTTGGATTTGATAGCAATGCAATACCTTTGGTGCGAAAGAGAGGGCAGAAGAGAAAGCCAGCCAACAATGCTCTCGCTACACAGCAGTGCTACCCGCACTTCGCACAGGGACATGCATCGGCCGAGACTCTGCCTGAAGTGCATGAGAATTCCCCTAAAAGACGAAGGTTTAGCGAACTGCCAAAGTGGCATGCCCAAGACATAGACTCATTTGGGACTTTCCGGGAAACAAACGCGAATGAAAGCTCAGGTTCTGAGACAGCATCAATCGACCTTGGTGGCGGCAACGACGCTATGAACAACTCTCCCATGGGTGATGGGATGGATATCGACTGAAATATCCATTATAATGCCATTCTCAGTGGTCATTCTCAGCAAAGCCACGTACAATACATATGAGTGTGGATTTGCCTGTATAACATGACGTCATGTGTATCTCATTGTAGCTCTGGGGGCTAAAACCACCTCGCCGGTTCAGATATGTCTTGGTCTTTACCACTATTTAAGAAACCCACCATTCATCATGGGTGCACGAACATCGTCACGCAACGCTGCCCAGAAGGCCAAGGAAGCCATTTCAACTTCCGCCGAGCCGACTGGCAAGGCTTCCAAGGGAACAAAGCGGAAAGCTCCAGCCGGAAAAGCTCCACAGCCGAAAAAGGAGAAAACGGAGGATGCAAAGCCAGATGAAGAGAAAGCGGAGCACGTACCAGACGGTCCAGCGGCGAAGACAGAAGAAGCCCCTGTCAAGCCAGAAGAACCATCCGAAGCACAACCACCAAAGGAGCAACCAGCCGAACCCCCTTCGGAGAAACCTCAAGAAGTTGAGGGAGGTCTCCGCAAGTCCAAGGAGAGGGAAAATGTGGTATCCTCCAACATCCTCGAAAAAGGCTTCATCTACTTCTTCTTCCGCCCACGCGTCAACATAGAAGACCCTCAGGATATGGGCGATGTCTCCCGAAGCTTCTTTGTCCTCCGTCCAACTGTCCTTGGGGCGGAATTCGACCAAGGCCAAGGCCCCGTCGACAAAGACGCCAAATGTCGCCTGATGATTCTCCCTAAAAAGAAGTATCCAACCTCACCCAAAGAACGAGATATGGGATTTGTGGAGAAAGCTGGACAATCTATGCAACAGCTCCATGAAAATTTCATCACTGGTAGAACATACGAGACTTCCACGCGGGGCGAGCGTCACGTCGAGGAAGCTAGACCCTACGCAGAAGGTGTCTACGCGATCACTTCCACACCGCGGGCATCCCACCTCGCTTACATCTTGACCATCCCTACCGAGTTGGGTGACGTTCAGGATGACTTCGGACTGCAAGAACGCGGAAGTTGGATCGTTCAGTCGAAGAGTCCCAAGTTCGCTGGTCCACCGATAGGTCAATTACCAAAAGGCCCGGAATTCCCTCCAGAGTAAGTAGTCTCCATAAAGAGATTTTGGTATTCTCATTTTAACGTTGTTGTCGTTAGGGTTCTCGACAAATTCAAAGATCTTCGATGGGTGCCTCTGCAGCCTGAGTTCCTAGACTATCCTAATTCTCAATTCCTCATGATCGGCGAGGCGCAGAATGACCTTGGCAAGGCTGCATCTTCTATGGGTGGTAAACAGGAGCACGAGGAAGAGCCTGGTCAGGAATTGGAGAAACTTGAAGACGAAAACGAGCACCGGGTGGATTCTCTCCAAGGTACGTTGTTATGTTGATTCTCTGTTGATCAGGCTAAGATTAACCTAAACCCCAGGAAATGAAACCGTCTATGAAGACCTGGGCTACCATGCGAAGAATTACCCCAAAGTGCTCACAACTTGGAACACAGCTGAAGACTGAACTTTAGCAGATCACAAAAGGGACCTAGAATATCTTTCAAAAGTAATGTTACCGATCACACTTAAACATAGAAAGGTATTCTATATCCTATTCTGTAGTTTGCCAATTATCTTCTGGCCCTAAATAGATATCTGAAAAGCCATCGTAGAGTTTTAATACGCTCTCAAGCGAATGGGTCAGACGGTCAGATTATATGTCTATGTCCTTCCTGCATCGTCAAGAACAGAGCCTGCACAAGCGGCTAAGTACCCCTGGGCATATTCCTGTTTCAATGAGTGAATTGTAGATTAGGCTCAAATCAGTGTAGGCTCCTCCATCAGTCTCTTATATTTCTGTCCGTAGGTACAAGTACATAGCTGAGGCTACAAGTACATAGGTGAAGTAGCGCAACTAAGCTTGAGTTTCCAAGTTCAAAAATCGCCGAACGTAATTGACCGTGGTAGCGTCAAGAAAAGAGAGTAAAAGTATGATTATTTGAAGTAGAAATGGCGTTATCGATCGCGCGGGCGCATGATGACATTGATATCGAGGATGTGTCCTGTAGGAACATGTCCATCCAAGCAGGGAGCAAGATATCAATCGATCAAGCGGGGGAAACTAGTTTGGGACTACTTTTATGGCATGCAGGATGTCCTCAAGAGACCATCCCGGCCCGCCGGGAACAATCTCCGCCCAGACCTCCTCGGGAACGGCGTCGTTGGGGTCGAGTAGACTCCAGTTGGGACTAGGCTCCGGTTTAATCCATTTGAAATCCTCGACTTGGCTCCAACGGTCTTCGTGGTCGGGGCGGTCATGGTCCAAGGCCTAGATAGAAGAATATAAGTACAAAACCGAAGAAAAGACATAGGCACGAGGAGAATACTGACATAGGCCTTTGGGATCCGACCAAACCGAATATTGGAACAGTCCTCAATAATGGGGTTACTAGAGCAGCTTAGATAGACATCAACATCGCTGCAGTTGTGCATGCGGAACTGGCGGCATGATACCACAATCACGCTACGCTCAACGCTGGTAATGTGTGCAGGGCCGTCGACCTGACCGCAGATCAATAAACTTTCTTTGACCCCCTTGGCAGTCAGACTGGCATATGGCTTTCCGTTGGCAGTCGGAATGGACATATCAACGATGCAACGATCCAGGGAGGTAATAGACACCGGGACCGTGGATGTGGACCCGGAGGCCGGAAGCATAATGTGAAGTCCATAATGATCGTCGACCGACACAGAGGATATACCGGTGGCCGCAAACGCACCAGCGGGCGACTTTGTGGCAAAGTCTCCGACCGAGACACCTGGGCATGAAGTGGGAGCAAGCTCCGGTCGCTCTTGTTGTTGCTTGTCTGGCTCGTTCAGTGGGGTGGAAGGGTAGTTGGGTGTGTGGTTCGCGGACGAGTCAACGGACGAGCCACCCGGAGAATGGTACCCAGGGATGCTAAGCCGTCCTTCAACTGCCAGCACGGCAGCGTCAGACAAAGAGACAGCAGAGGTATTTTTCTTGGTCTTGAAGCTAAACTTTGATCGGGGCTCGAATGCTGCACGTGTCTCGCTCAATCGATCCTGCAAAGCTTTGATTGCCTGTAGCGACGTCAGCTCTGCTCTATCAAGACAGAGTGCGAGTAGCGTTTACCTCTGCATATACCCTCTGATCATAGGTGGGAATATAGCTCGCTGCGTCCTTGACTTCATTAGATAACCGCACGATCCCGGCAAGGCAGTGGTCTGTTGCATCGGCACGTTCACCACCCACGAGAGACGTGTCTGCAAGACGATCCATCTCCTGTTGCAAATCTAGATAGTAATTTATTAGCAAGCGTCTGGTTTATTTCGTTGCTTGATAATGAAGTGACACTTGAATATCAACGGGTGGCATACCGGTGATCTCATGCTGGAAGTAGCGGAAGAAGCGTTCCTTCAAGGGGATATCAGCTTTCGAGACTGTCTGATTACCCGCCGAGAGTCGACGTAGTTGTGGTATTTCCGCCTCAGCCATGGCGCATGTAAAAGTGTTGGTTCAGGATTGAAAGCGGAGATGAAAGACCGGGGAAGGTCGAGGCTCCGTGAGAGGGAATGTAGTAATGACGTCGATTGGATCCCACATTGATCATGCCACCCCGCACGGTATTGAAGCCAAATCAATCGGATTCTGGCTTCCACCTGGGTAAGCTTATTTGCAAAAGATGACTAGCACTGTGATACGTAGTTGCAAGCGGAAAAGAAATTCGCAGTATTTGCCCACATCCAAATCTTTATATCAATCCCCTCGGGCTCGAAATCCAAAATAAGTTCGGATATTCGGAAAGTTGGGCTATATTAAAGCCAATCCCACAGTATCCAGTTATAAATCCTCTTTTTGTCTGAGTGATTGGCCTCAGACCTCAGATTGACGCGATAGTCACTGCAGCTTCACTGTGACGTCGATCAGCCCGCATTTCACGGAGGTCGGAAATTAGATGATCCGGGTGGATCTTCACACGACAAGGCATCAACTCGACTTTATACTTCGTCCTTTCGAACTGGCCCACATATATTATGTTACCATTTAAGGAGTTTTGGAAAAAGACTAGAGAATATAAGTTTCTCCAATTGATGATACAACATGGGATGGTTTGATGGTTCATTTTCCTTTAGATTAACGAGATTGGATTCCAATGTCGGTTGCACAATCTAGGCCCATAAAGTTCTTTCTGGCCAACTGAGGGATATGAGAGCCTTGAAGGTTGAGCATACTCCATTTTTGCATGGGGGGGTGACACAGCGGGAGCACTGGACTGATATATTGCAATATAAGGTTTCGTTCGTTGGACAAGCACACGCTGACCAAATGAGACTGTTCACGAGGACATCCAGGTTGATACTCTCCCTATAGCCGGGTTCATACAGATTACGGCCTCTAATTTTCAGAGAGCCAAGTGGAAAGAGATGACCTTGCGCTAAGTATAAAGTTGATGTCTCGATGCCTGAGGTAGTAGTACGTTTATGGGCAGTCTTTCTTCCATGGGCCGTTCTTGTTATTGGCGGCGGAATTTGCATGATCTTATTTGCGACCCTAAATACCGAAAGCGTCTGAAGGTACCTGCCCGGAGATGCCGGCAGTCATAAGAATATCCTAGCTTACACGAGCGGGCTCAGGCTGAGCATATGGCAGATGCCGGTGACTATCGTGTTGGTGTGCAACGTTGTACTATTGTATTCCTATTTAGTATCGACGTAATATCCACTTAGTACCTAGCTCGGGTAGTTTTGGTCACTTGCCAGATGACATGTCAGTTCTGTAAATGTCGATATATTTTCCACTTGCCTAAAAAGTGACATATTTACGAAGCCCGACGGTGTCTGTTCACCTTTTTACTTTAGCAAATATTTAACGACAAAAATGAGACTTCAATTTCTACTTATTCGGACCTTGGCCCTTGTGCTATGCTATGCCCAGTTGGCGTTTGCCGTTGATTCCAGCCATCAACTGGTTGAACAGCTAGACAAGGTACCAGATGGCTGGTTAAGAGGGGATAGACCGTTGGCCTCTAAACTTATAAAATTCCGACTAGCGATTGCCCAACACAACGCCAGAGAGTTCGAGCAAAAGGTCATTGAGCTGTCAACCCCAGGTCACGCGAGCTATGGTCAACATATGAATCGGGACGAAGTGAAGCAATTCTTGAGTCCCCCTCCTCCCATTTCAGACCGCATTATCGCATGGCTGCAATCAGAAAATGTCCCAACCAGTTCTATAAAGTTAGATGGCCATTGGATTTCGTTCACAGTTCCAATTTCTCAGGCCGAGGAGATGCTGAAAACGCAGTTTTTCTACTTTCACCAACAAGACCAGCAAAGCATCACCATTCGAACTCTTGGCTATTCGGTGCCCAGGGCCTTACATCCTTATATTCAATTGATCCAGCCTACAACTATATTTGGCAACCTTGTGCCTCAAAGAAGCTCCATTTTCAAACCGAAGACAGCGACTTCCGAGCAGCTAGCCGCTAAATGCAATGTGACTATCACGCCAGACTGCCTTCGGGATCTGTATGGAATTGATAACACGACCACCAGACCTGATTGGCGGAATCGACTGGGGATATCTGGTTTCCTAGAACAATATGCTCGCCGTGCTGATTTCGATGTGTTTTTGCGTCGTTACGCCCAAAGCCACACAGACGCAAACTTCAGTGTCGTCTCAATCAACGGCGGCCAGGATGATCAACACTCCATGTCTGATAGTGTCGAAGCAAATCTAGACGTACAGTACTCCATCCCGCTGGCAGATGAAGTGCTAGCAACATTTTATAGCACAGGGGGACGCGGTCCTGTTGTCCCCGAAATAACTCATCCAGACCCTACCGAGTCATCAAACGAGCCATATCTTGAACAGCTCCATTACCTTTTGGATCTCCCAGATGAAGAGCTCCCCGCGGTGCTTTCCAACTCGTACGGAGAAAATGAGCAGAGTCTCCCACCGTCATATTTAAACGCGACTTGCAGCCTATTTGCCCAGCTCGGTGCGCGGGGTGTTTCAATACTTTTCAGTAGCGGAGATGCTGGTCCGGGAAGTTCTTGTGTGAAAAATGACGGGACAAATCAAACTAGATTCCTCCCTGAGTATCCAGCTTCTTGTCCATTTGTTACCTCGGTGGGTGGAACGTACGGCACCAACCCCGAAAAAGCGGTTTCCTTCTCTGGGGGTGGGTTTTCAGAGCTGTTCCCCCGTCCCCACTATCAGGACCAGGCAGTGAAGGGCTACCTTCGTCATCTTGGAAGTCAATGGAATGGACTGTACAATGCTACGGGAAGAGGGTATCCCGACGTGTCGGCCCAAGCCGCAAGATTCATTGTTCGAGATCATGGCGAGTGGATCTCGGTTGGCGGAACAAGGTTTGTCTTCGGCAGATTTCTGGAGAACAATGAGCTGACCGTGTACAGTGCTTCGACACCAGTGCTTGCAGGGGTGGTCTCCCGGCTCAACTCTGCCCGTATTGCCCAGGGTAAGCCTCGAATGGGCTTTCTAAACCCATGGCTTTATAGCCACGGGCAAACAGGGTTCACGGATATTGTTCTAGGCAGCTCCTCAGGCTGTAAGCGGAATCCTGGCGATGCTCGGGTACGGAATGCGACCTGGGATGCCACCGAAGGTTGGGATCCCGTAACAGGGCTAGGCACGCCGTTATTCCCTACACTTGTGAAAGTGGCATTGTCAGATGACCTGGCGTAGATATGAATCTGAGTAATATACATAGTTATCAAAAACACTAAGTCATGCTGTGGTTCACTAATATCCAAGAAGCAAAAATTTAATAGTCTCGTGGTAGTAGTAATAATAATGGTAGACGTGACGGGGACCACTAATTATATTTTGCATCCACCAAATTCTTGTTTAGCCACCATCTCATCTGTGGGGTTATTGGCGCTGAACCTGTGCGAGTGTTCTCCCCGTTTCGATTCACGACCAAAGCAACGCCAAAAACGGTCTCCCTCTGCGGCCAACCCTAGCTCTCTTCGATTTATCGCTTATGCGGCCGTAGTCTTGTTAGTGATCTTTTTTGTAGTCTCGTCAGTTAGCCTTTTAAGGTCTGAACCCTCGTCCCGTTGCTGAAACCTCTGCAAATTCCGAAGCCGGGAATAGAGCTCCGTTTCCATACGTTCTGCGGGACACGGCCCCCGCATGATCTCTCCGATCATATCCGTCCCAGAAGGGAAGCCGTGTTCGAAGGAGGGTTCGCCAGCCCCCTTCATGTTGGCTAGCACACACTGGCGGAAGTGCCAACGGAGCAATGCAGGTGCGACGTTATCGGAACTGTCCTGGTCCCAGCATACAGGATCTAATAGGTGCTAGCCATGATGAAGGATGCAGTGGGCGAATGTGGAAGAGATGTACTGTTGAAAAAAACGAGGTCGAGTGGTTGGCTAGGAGATTGTCACATACGTAGGTAAAGTGTTGGACACCTCGTTCCGGTGGGTCCCATTGTGCCATCAACGTCCCACGCGACGACTGTGGCGAGCGGTGCGCATGCGCGGTCTCGCGCGGTCTCTGGGTCGACCTTGGGGTTTGGTGGCGGATCACTTGGGCGCCATGCTGGTCTCTCGGTAAGGCCGTGCTTCTGTCGCTCCTGGTCGTCGTCGCTCAATGCTTTCGCTATTGACTTGACTTATTTGGCGACGGCTTCGGCGATTGTATCTGTGGTGGTCGTCGGGCAAAAAGACCCGCGCAGCTGTCGGCCATTTCTATATAGTTTTAGCGTCGGCCTCTTATGACAGGTCAGAAATATATCTGAGGTCATCTACCACTTTAGCTAGCTATTGCTCCTCGTATCTTGGCAACCAGATACACTGGTTCTGGAAGGTTTGTGGAGATAACTGGGGCAGGCAGACGGTGTCCTGACGGGGAGCGACGAACTCCAAGGGAATCGAGTGGGAGTCGGCCTTGTGCACCATGGGGCCAGGCCCACTGGCTGACTCGGCGGAGTCGCAGAGGATGGTCAGGCGGATCTTCTTTCGAACGGTATAAACTCCCGAGTCTCCATTTCGGCTCCATTGCCAAATTGGCCCTTGATTGGCTTCCTATAGGGGGTCCAACGGCTATATACGGAGGGGTGTTTGGCGGCGACAGCAATAAGGAAGGCCACGAGGCTCAAATTGACGGAATCCTCATCATTCAGCCGTTTTGACTTCTTCGTGGTTTGGGCCCCGTTTTTCGATAGCGCCGAATCCTGGTCTGCTCGACCGCCGGTACCTCAAAGATACCGACTCCCTATAGACCCGGGCCAATAGTAGACGGATCGAACTTGGCAGTTGAATCCGGCTGTCACTTGCTACAAGTAAGCTTGGAAGGGGGAAATTTCTTAAGTCACTTATTGGCCTCTTTGGGGTATTGGCGTAAATTGAAGTTTTGCATCTCGGGATGATCTTCAGTCTTAAAGTGATTCTATAAACGAAAGTTGGGTATTCCTCTTTGGTCAGTTTTGACGCTGAGCTCCACTCTTGCTAGTCGTGAGGGTTACGGTCCTGCATTGACTTATTCACTACGCGGTGCCACAACTCCTATGTCTTAGGAACACGAGAAAAGAACTTTGCCTATGGCATTTTGATGACTGCGGAAGTTTGAAGGGCAAGTCTTAAGCAAAAGAGCTGAAACTTGGTATGGCTCTAGCGCGAGCAAGTCGGAGCGAGTCAGAGTGAAGCGAATTAGAGTGGATGAGAGCGAGAGAGATCAGCATGTCTCAAATTGCGAACTTCGTTGAATAAATTGAGAATGGTCTCTTTAGTTGTTGGGTAGTGACTGGAGTGTGCAAAGCAGTCTGGGCGTAGACTGATGGACTAGACAGGAGTAAAGAGCGAGGATTAGACGCAGGTTCCAGGACTTGGATTGATTGATGAGTGGAAAAATTTGGCCGAGATCAGAGCCCTGCAGATCAATGGCCGGGTCTTGGCCAGCCGGCTGAAACATGCCCAATTCATCTTTGGGACCTTATCCGCCCCTGCGCCGGCCGCTCCAGACTCCGCCTGGTCGGGCGGGCCGTGGAGATCCCGGGCAAGCATATAGTACATACGGTCATGATCCTGCTGTGCCCGGGGGCTGTAACTTAACTCCACCGTAGTGGTAGCTAAGGGGGGAAATATCTGCTCCAATAATGATGCTCTCTAAAGTATCACCGGCCATCACAAATCCAGGCTCACGGGCTAGGGTCGTCATACGGAGGATGATTGGAGGGCGTTAAATCCCACCTCGGTGGAGATGCAGGTCTCATAGGATACTCTAGAGCCTGCTAGGCAAAAAGGACGCTGTTTGCGGAGTAGGGCTTTGATCGTCAACCCACGCAAGATCTGATATACGTGGGCCAGAGCAGCGGCTCACTTAGAGGTGTTTTCGTGGCCAATAGGCGTATAAGCTCGGTCTTCAAGAATGATTCTTGATGTACAAGGCTTCACTCGTATCGGGAAATATCGGGAATTCTGGGAGCACTAAGGTTCCCAACAGTGCGGGATGCATCGTCGTCCTTGTATGCCTGCATGTGCATACCCACAGCAACTATCCCATACCCATCATTTGTTGTTCTTGAACGCGAGTGGAGATATGCGAGATGGCGGCGCGTAGTGACTGCAGAGACTCGTTGATATCAGTGAAGGTGGTGTCTCGGTCTATGCGAGCGAGATACTCTATCTGAATCTTCAGTGTCGATGGGCGGGTGAAGTCAGACCAAATCGAGGTCCGTGAGGAAAATCGGGGTTGCTGCGGGGTCCTGACGGTCTCACGACATGATAGTTCGTCAGAAATGGCGAATCTTCCCATCACAGGTCAATGTAACGTACCCGCCCAGGGTCCCAATAGACTGGTGTTGGGTAACATGCCGCATGGGATGGGTGGCAGAAAGATATTGATGAGACGTTCGTCCCAGGTAGAGGGTCACGTTTACAATGTATTCCTCTTACATTGGACAATCAGGAATTCTTGGCTTGCTGTTCTCCGGATACTGGTAAGTGTGCAAATCGGAAAAATGCCACTTGCGGGACACAGTGCAGTCAAACTTCATCAACGCCGAAGAAGCGAGCATGAATCTGGATCAATATATATCGATATCGATATCGAGCATCGGTAGTTCCTCTCGACTTGCTCGAGCTCATAGCCACTGGGGTTTAGAAGTGGGATTAGACTGGCCCGAGGGACAAGAATGGTTCGCTCTTCAATAGCCGCTTGCTGGCTTCCAGAGGATTCCCGACTAGGAATCTCACTGCTTAGTCTAATTTTTAGTCAAGGCGGACATCCTCACACTCGCTAGGATTGACGGTGGGTATTTGCAGGCAAGGAAATTCACGAATTTATAGGCGAAAGATTGAGGTCGTCGTTTTCAGCTCCTCAGACTCATCCTGAAGATGATCTGCCAGGTTGAATATGAGTCGTCCGTGGCATTTGTCTAAGATGATATATATATAGAGCGTCCTTCTTGCGGTGGTTTCAAGTCAGTCCTCTATTCACACTTAAACATGGCTCAGAAGTTGCTCAGTCGCTCACTTACCATGATCTTGAACATTGGAATATACCCATCCTGGTATTATCAATGGGAAGGCCGACTGAAGAAGTGGGCCAAAGACTCGTTCTCTCAGTGTGCTGTGCAAGGCGCACGGGCGCTCGTTGCTGTTCTCTTCCCCTAGAGACTCTGCGCCACTGCCAAATCAGCGCATATGGGTAGTGAATATGTAGAGAGCAAGTGAGGCGGGCTTTATATGCGCTGGGCTGAAAGGAAGGCCTGACCTGTAAGGTGACAAAGGCAAAGCAAACGTTACCTATGTAAGTAGTTAGTAGGATAGCCACATCAGTGCTGAGATCAGCGCACTTTTCACTTCCCTGCTTCATTTCGTAAGAATCATCTGGTGAGATCTATACATACATATCCATGGACATGTGCCACGTAGACATGTAGAATGTCATCACTTGGGTTGGGATATTGGTGTATTTTTGACTGCGAAGGAAAAAATGTATAGAAATACGCCTAAGGTACGCATATCCACTACAAATCCATTATTCTAGGATGTTATACCATAGAGCGTGGTTAAGAAACGTGAGGCTCCATGCGCCAATCCATTGCAGATGCAAGCCGAACCTGGACATAATAAAAACTCGTAAAGTTACAGATACTGGAGACCAGCCTATAGTTAAGCCTTCTGAAATGGTGGCTTTGGAGATTCCGAATACAAGTTGAAGATTAATAATCCATGGAGTAACCCCCTCTGCCTGAATCTCCACCGTTGTGACCATTCCTGCTGTCGTATTGCCCATCGTAACCATTGCTATGGTCATCCAGCGACCTGTACTGGTAGTATTCACCTCGGCCACGACCTCGGCCGCGACCTCGGGCCCGGCCTCGGTTGTTGTTACCGCGTCCGCGTCCGCTGCCTCGGCCACGACCACGATGAGCTCCTCTTTCTCGTGGACTATCATCATATTGGCGACCATCACCACCACCGCGCTGAGAGGATTGGTAGTTACCGCGGCCAGGAGATGGGGCATCAAAGCCTGTGTTTTGAGTAGGTGGCCAGACGATTTCATCCTCCTGCTGAAGGCGTCTCTTTTGACTCCTGTTCAAGGGTCGCTCTCCTTGACGATATTCTCCGCTGTCTTCAACTCGTAGGACAACCTTCTCGCCGACCACAGTGTCAAAGGTCATGGGCCTGTCAGCCGGCATGGGATGCCAGTTTTGGATCTGCCCCGCATCGATGAGACGAGCACCTTTGCGAACAGCCAGTACTACAATTGGCAGTGGGTTCTCCGTGTAATATGCCTCCGTCGAGGGGATAGGCGCCACGCGGGCTGCCCATATCTTGTTCTCCAGGTTGCCGGTTCCGGTAACCTGCCACTTTAGTTTCTTGCCCATGCCTCCAACTTTGTCCAGGATTGAACGGGGCGCTGGGCGTGGGGTGATTAGGATACTGTTAGCCATGTACTTCAGGTCATTTGATTCAGCGAGCCCTGGGGGGAGCAGTGGAACCAGCAAATTCTGCGTCATGTCGTTTGAAACTTCTGGAGTAACCAGATATCCCGTGTAGAAGACGACCCGCTTGATGTACATCCGTCCACAGCGGCTCTTGGTTACGTTCAAAGCAGGGTCGCGCAATGTGAGGTTATGGGCATTGACCATGCGCTGCACCTCAGCGGTTTCAATTACGGGGTCAAGGTATGTGCAGCCCTCAGTTACCTGGATGACTTCAGCAAGGATGGGCATCCGTGCGGTAGAGGGCCCACTTTGAAGGTCTCTGTTCACACTTTCGAAGAAGTCTCGGAACCCTTTCACACTAGCAGAATGTTAATACCTTGATATGCCCAGATTCTGCAACTCGGTTTCCAAGGGACTCACTGCCTGACACGATCCTCGTAGACGCGGATTTCCGCAGCCTGCTCGTAAGTGAAAACAAGGTCCTCAAGGAAGTTCTGTTTGAAGTTCATTGTCGTCGCAAACCGTTGGCCATTTGGGCCAACTTCGGGCTTGAGACCAATAAGGTCAAACTCAAGACTTTGACTAGCGACCATCCGCTTGATAATGTCTGCAAAGCCGGCCTCACTTCGACCGGTCAGCAACACCGTGAGCGCATCTTTTTGCTCCATGCTATTCCTAACTAGACCAAGCTTCGAAAAGAAAAAAAGTCAGCTGAGACTCCCCGAACATGTAATATGCGATAGAAGGCACACAATTTGCTCGTTCCACCAGCCTTCCCATTTGCGAGACTCCTCTATCTCCATGCCTTTTCCTGTGGCGGCGAGAATGTTGGGGTCATGCCACCATCCTCCAGTTGCGAAACTGTCATTGGTTTGAAGGAAACCAATTGAGGAGCCATGCCATAACTGCGGGTTTGGTAGGGGACTTAGAAATACTGAAAGTGCGGAGGTCAGTGGTTGAGTGTCGGTCTCACGTTTGCATATGCTCACAGGTGTTATCGAAATCGTAGACGTGAATTGCGCGAATTTGTGAAACAGCTGAAAATAAAAATTGTTAGAATCATGGCAGAGCAATACACCGTAATAAGACCGAACCTGGCAACTCCTTATTCACGACAGACCAGCGCCGTAGTGAGGTGATGGTATGCGGGCGAATCCCGCCTGTGCTGTGCGACATATTGGTGGCAGAACCGAAGCGTGCAAGTTTCTCTGAAACAACCGCCTTGGCAGACCGCATTCTATCAGGTAAAGGAGAGATATGACGTTAGCGCATGGTTGGGAAAAAGAGAGAGTGGGAGTCGCAAAGCAGGGTGACGGAGCTCCCGAGAAATCGGTTTTGCCGCCCAGAACGCGATAAACGTGACAAACGTGACTTTGGGAACTAAACTCCTGCAACCCACCCCTGGCATGTCGCCTGTATGGATGATGTCGATTTGCGACAAGAAATCCTCCAGCGGACTCTTAAAGAGGTAGCTGATGAGGAAAAAGAGGCGGCAAATCCTTGTGTTATTTGCCTAGACACTATCGCCGAGCCGTGTGTGGCACAGCCATGCCATCATACGAACTTCGACTTTCTCTGCCTTGTCAGTTGGATTGAGCAGCAACCCAAATGTCCACTATGTCAGAATCCACATAAACACACTTACTGCAGACTAAGCCTAGCTGACAATATAACAGGTAAAATCGAGTTGACAGCAGTGCAATACGAACTCAACGCCACACAAGGTCCGAAGTTATACAAGCTCCCGCCCCCGAGCGCAGCAATCCCGGCAGCTCCAGCCGCTGCTCGATTGCGCCCTGGTAATCGCTACGGCCCACGAGGGCGACGTCCTCCACCGCCGCCGCGACCACAGCCAGATGACCCGCTCGAGCGCCGGCGCAATGTCTATCGCAACCAAACATACTCCATGCGAGTCGGATCCAATCGGTTGTCTCAGTATCGAGAACTGACACCAGAGCTCTTTGCTCGTGATGAGGGGCTCGTCTCCCGCGCTCGCAAGTGGATCCGCCGTGAACTACGGGTCTTCTCTTTCCTGAACCCGGAACCGGAGGAAGTAGAGCGGACATCTTACCAGGTCTCGCGCCCTGGGCCTCAACGGCTGGAGAGTCGCAGGGCAAATAATGCCGAGTTCTTGCTGGAATATGTCATCGCTATACTACGCACTGTCGATCTCAAAGGCAGTGCTGGACAGGCGGAGGATCTGTTGCGTGATTTCATCGGCCGCGAGAATGCCTGTTTGTTCCTACATGAATTACAGGCGTGGCTGAGGAGCCCCTATAATTCTTTGGAGGACTGGGATCGTCATGTGCAGTACTCGAATAGTCCGCGGAGTATCAGAGGGTATAGGGACTCTGACGGCTCAGCTCGTAGGTCGACTCCTGTGAGCTATCGGAGTAGGCCGCAGAGGTCCGGGAGACCATACAGGTCCAGGTCTCAAGAGGCCATTGATCGCTCCGGGCGGCTGCAACAGGCCCAACAGCGATATAATCCTTATTAGATATGCAGCTTGACATACAAGTGTTACATCTACAACTCTTGACGGTTGTCTAGGAAAACGGTCGATCTCTGGTAATCACATGTTATACATTGTAAAATCGGTTTGGAATTGTGCTTTTCATTTGGGAAGAATCTTTTCCTCTCTTGCCAACTTCGTGTTTCGCTGTGCTCGAGTTCGAAGTCAAAACTACTGTAAATCTGCGGCGGCGAACACCAATCCCGTCATCATAGGGTCGGTCAAACTATATCGGGCTTAGAAGAGACAGCTGTCCATATGCGGGCCAATAGCACGCTTGCCTCCCAGCCAGTCAGAACCGAGACGACTTACTTATAGGAGACTCTGCCCACTCCAGATATCCTCGGCAAAATTTCTGAGCTCCTGCTCGGGTATCACTAAGTCTCTGTCCAGGGCTGGTGAGGAGGACGGTCAACAACCTTGTCGAAGGGTAGATCCAGGTGTGTAGTAGTCGTAGTTGTGCCATCCATATAGGACTCTCCGGTAACGGATGTCGTGTTATTCGTTCGAGATAATTTGAGGAATGTAGTACGATGCGGTAAAGAGGCGATGACCTTATAAGGACGCCATATCCTCAGGGAACAAGTTCCCATTGGTGCAAGATGACCTCGGGATTTTTCGAATCGTGAATTGCAGCTGGGACATTTATTTGCTTGGAACGTGCGACTTCAATGGCCGCCGCGGGGAGCAACACGAATTGTTTATAATCGAATGTGAGTATTTAAAGCCAGCCAAGTCGCGTCCATGGGCTTGCTCAGGAACATGAGAGGACGTTGGGTTGAAAGCGGCAACCGGATGTATGTGTCGTTGAACCTGGCCACGGTGATGAACAGCTCATGGCTGTCTTGCGAAACGAGGAAACGGTGCCTATGCGCTTCCAAACGGTCAGCCTCTAATTAATAAAAAGCGACTCCTACCGGTTGCGAATGGCTGTGTTGCATTTCAACCATGCGACCACTTCGGCTGCTTCCTGCATCGATACGGCGGGCTCGTGAACTCTTCACCAGGACCTCTTGGCCTCAACAGGACACTGACCCAGCCCCGGGAAGTAGCCGTCAACTTTGGCGTTGAAGGCAACCCCGGGGCTTGAATTCTGCTTCGAAATTCTTTCGAGTGGGGTCCACTCCGCTACCCCAGGGTTCTGGTTTTGTCGCTGGGGTCATATTTGGTGAATCGTCAGGCATGTTCTTCCTAGGTCACTTTTTCGAAAGCCTTTGTCTTCGGATGGAGTGTGTTGCCGGAAACATGGGCTGCCTCCTCCCATTCGTCCCATGACTCTGGAACTTCGCTGAAAATTCTTGCCGGCGGCCACCAATTCGTAAAGCTGGATATTGTCGGCGTTACTGCCGAAAAAGGATAGCAACAGAGCACCAAAGCAACCAAAATAGGAGGGAAATAAAACAATGGTCTGGAAATTCCAATTGAGAGAACTTGCGACTTATACAGCCCCCGGACAACAGCCACGACGGCATCATCGGCATGGCCAATGAGCGTCTTGGCAATCTGCCACATTGCCATGTACTGAATCACCTCCCAAAACATCCTCCTCATTACTGGTACTCCGTGGCTGTCGCCGAGCTTTATCAGCCCTACAAGCTAATCATCTCCGTCTGCGCCCCTGCGCGCCAGGCGGACGGCATCACTAAGCTGATGTTCGGGCCGGCTAACTGAGGTGGTTTCAAGCGCGTTGAGAACAGATACGTGGGAGAAATGGAGAGCAACGATACCGAGCCAGGTATCTAGGGGAGGGCCAGGCCTCAATCGGCTCTCGGCCGCCATCTCGCGATGTACCGCGAAGATAATGGATGAATGCCTGGTATGCAATCTCATGTATATGGGACGTTGGAAACCCGTAAGGTATAGGCAGTTCGATTAAGGGAATGTAATCCCATAGTTATATGTACTTAACTCTATTCCTCCGTAGTGATATGCAACCTCGCCGGCCGATTTTGTTAGCGTTTTCTAGCTAGCCAGCTACCACCAAATGCGCTCTTTTAATAATGATCGGCCCTTGGTCGTAGGCATCAAGTTCGTGCTTGCGACCCTGAGTGCTGTGCCCCTTCGTACCCCGATGCCCCAGCCCGAGCATATTGTAGTGCTCCGGAGCAATTGTCCACCGGAACTGCCAGTTGGGAAGAGGGCTTGGATCAAATCGATTCAGTCTGCGCATTAGATACTTTGGTGATCTGGAGGCGAAGAAAGAAGCGATAATCTCTTCGGTGGAATCCCCCTAATTGAGGCATGGAAACGCCTAACTTCGAGGCCTCCAATCGCGGCTGTTCGCTCACGCGGGCCCACACGGGTTCCGGGAGCCGAGTTGGGGGGCCGCACGCCCGTTGCGGAATCCCGAAGAGAGGGCTTCGATCTAGGTTATCGGGAGAATACAATATATGCATATTCCAAGAGAGCTCTCAATGTTGCCTTCAAGGGGAGTGCCTCATACCTGATGGCTGGTGGCCTCGGTGGAATTGGTCGTGCCGTTTCCACCTAGATAGTTGACCATGGCGCCCGCGAACTTATTTACATGTCCCGCAGCGCTGGTCTTACCAACAAGGACGATGACTTTATCCAAGAGCTCGAGTCCGTGGGTTGCGCTGTCAGGCTCGTTAGTGGCGATATCACCAAGTATGAGGACGTGGAACGAGCCATTTCTGCCGCATCTCTCCCCGTTAGAGGTCTTGTTCAGATGTCGATGGTGGTCTCCAATGAGAACTTCACCAAGATGAGCCACGAGGAATGGGTGGCATCCACTGCACCAAAGGTGGAGGGCACATGGAATCTCCACAATGCCTCTACCGCGGCAGGACTTGATGTTCAGTTCCGTGTCCGGTATTGTTGGACAAGCTGGTCAAGCTAACTACGCGAGCGGTAACAGTTTCCTTGATGTGTTCGCCCAATGCCGCGATGGGCTAGGTCTCGCCGCTTCCGTTGTTGATATGGGAGCCGTCGAGGATGTTGGCCGGATTTCCGAGCACCAGGGTATGATGGGCAAGATGTCGCGCAGTAGTTTCAAGCCTGTTCTGGAGAAGGAGGTCATTGACGCCATGGCCATCTCCATGCTTGTTTATAACAAGCCGCAACAGGCCGATAAAAGTGCTCTAGCTGTGGTTTCGAGGAACGCTTCTTACTTCATCCACAAAAACACCTTCTTGGTTGGTCTTGCATTGCTCATTCCATTGAATGATCTTAGCAACTACGTCATCTGGAAGAAGGACCGTCGCATGGCCTCTTATCATAACAACTCAAAGATTGCAGCCACCACAGCCTCGACTGATGTTCTGAAGTCATACCTGAGAAATGCCAAGGCGGGCCCTTCGGTCCTCAAGTCGGCTGAAGCAGCGAGCCTCTTTGCAGTGGAGATTGGCAAGAAGCTTCTTGATCTTTTATTCAAGCCCCAAGAGGCAGTCAAGACAAGCTTACCCCTAGCTAATCTTGGACTCGACTCGTTAGTGGTTCTCGAGCTGCGCGCTTGGATTAAGCAGGTGTTCTCTTTTGATATGCCGATGCTGGAGATGATGAGCATCGGCTCGCTTGACATTCTTGGCTCACATGTCGCAAATGAGGTCTTCAGAATCACCACCGCAGAAAATGAAAGCTAGACTACTGTTGTTTTTGCCTATGGGATTGAATTTTCAGAGGTTCCAAGGTTTCCAATGTTCTCTACTGTTAGATAATGGCTATAGTCCGAGTTTTCGTTCCCTCAACGTGGAATATGTCACCGATTGTAACAGGAAGAATAGTTACTGTGTCTCTGAAAACCCGAAGTTGTCTACAGATGTAACCATAAAGGAATGTTGGCTGCCGGTCTGGTATGCTAGGTATTGCAGGCATACTAGTACCTGCTGAAACGTCATAAGCAGGAGTATGTTTGACTTTATCCTCTTCATTCGCCACGATCCAGTGGGCTGCGAGGCTAATTATGGAAAAAGGAAAATTGCACTTCTAAAGTTGCATAGATGTCTCACTTCACTGACTGAGTGAAGTGATCCATTGGGTTTTCCCTAAACTACCAACTACTACCAACTACCTACATGTAGGTATCTACTTGCAAATATGTAAATTTGTCCATTGCCTAGAGCTTCAGACTCGTAATTTATCTGCGGCCAATTTTACCGAGAGATATACGATTATTATGATAATATGATATCTCGACAATATCGAAGGCATAATGAGAGATCAGCTCGCTTCTCAGCTTAATTGTCATAATCAATCATGTCCCACTGCTTGGGCTGGTTTATCACGTCCTGCAAATCTTCCATGGCACCCCTCAGATCATCTAGCCCGACATGCAAGGCCAGGTCGATGTAATCCTTTGTCCACAGTCCCGGCGAGCCACGAGGATATTGTGACCTGAACCCTAGAAACCGCTGAGCGCGCTTTGACATTTTCTTCGCGGTATCCAGTGTAACAATCAAAGGCTGCGCTTCAGATCGAGTCAAGAAACTCGGGACAACAGGGAGCTGGATCATTTCCTCTCTTCTTGTGTCTTATTCTCGCCAATTCCGTGCATAACCTTCCCGCCGATGAGCACGACATCGCCCTTCTTCATTTCCGCTGGAATTGTCTGGCTCATGTTGCCGCACTGGTGGAAGGGCCACTTGTTGCTTCCTAGAATGATGCGCGTTGCACCGTTCTCGCCCTTGAAGTCGCTGAACGCGAAGAGAAAACTAATTTTGGCTCTCTGTACCGTCGGGTCCGAGCATAGCGTATGGCGGGTAGGACGTCAGGTCGCGATGTAACAACTGCCCTGGTTGGGGACCTGCTGCGTGGAGGGTTGAGGCTGTTCAGAGCCAGTAGTCTCCGTTGTGTCCGCCTTCGGTGAAGCATCATCTGCAGATGTCGTGAATGAAGTCATTTTCAATGACGCGCTCGCGGAATGTAGCGCTGTGATTAATGAGGTCGCCTGCACTCTTTGTCTTTGGGCCATGGAAGGCTGCGAGGTCTTCATGAGGAACCAGTGTTCCTTTTTGGACGGAATCGAGGCATTTCTCCAGTTCACTGGTGACTCGGTCCACCTCCTCTGGGGTGAGCATTCCTCTCAGGATGACGGCGCCACTCTCCTTCCAATGCTTAAATACTTCGTCCAGCGGTGCGCAGCTGGTACCTCCACGAGTTGGAGTCCGTTAGGGATGGCAGTTTGAGGAATCTCCGTGGGAACTCGCCCCATGGTTGAAACGTTGAATACAGGAGGGCCTATTGACGGAACTAGATAGCAGGGGAACTAGGATGTCTAAGCTCGATCAATGTGAGTTGAAAGCCCATCAACGTTGACACGACAGTAGCTGGATGTCCTCTCATAAGTGTTGGGCGTCTAGACTTTTCAATGCAAAGAGCGTTGTTAGCCTCGGATCCGTCCGTCATTAGCTTCGGGTTGCGGATTCCGATCGCGAGGCTAACAAGCTAACACAAGGCCACGGTATCCTCGGCCCACTCCATACGCGTCGTACCTAGGACGATGAGAATCCCCGGGACCATTTGCCCTTCATGAGATAAGCGCTTCCAAGGCGTAACAATCAATGGTGATAGCAATGTCCTAAAAAGCATTCGCCAAGGATGTTTTCATTAATCAGGGAACGAAAGTTAGGGGATCGAAGACGATCAGATACCGTCGTAGTCTTAACCATAAATGACAATGGACGGAGATGCATTGAGTGTATTTAACGAGTAAAACCATGGTAATCCAGCATAAAACAAGCTGTCGTTGAGGGTATGGATAATTTAACAACTTAACCATATCGATTTGTCTATAAAAACATGGGGAAAACAAGTTACATTCATGGTTCCACGTTCGTGCCCAGATTTTCTGTGTGATCCCATAGCAATCATAGGGCACATTTGCGTAGACTCGGAATTACAATCGTTCTGACCAATATGAGGAGATATATCGGAATGTTTTGGAAATTTATCGGCTTGATGGAAGTCAACGGTTTATACATTAAACAGACACGGTATGAATACATAAGAATTTATAGAACTGAACAATCCAACTCAAGACTAGTCCTCAAAGCGCTGGTTCCCAAGTCCCCGGCCCTTGAGGTTTATCTCATCCAGGAAGATTGAACTCACCAAACCCAGTGCACTCAGGCTGGTCATCACATAGAATATCGTGTGGAAGCACTTCAGATAGACACCTAATACCTGGTCCAGCGTCGATATGGGAACATGTAGTGATCCCAAAGAGTCAATGAAGCTCACAGCATTGGAGGCATCTTCCAGAGGCGCCAAGGCTCCCGTCAGCCGAAGTGTAGTGTCAGTGATAGTCCTCGAAAAAACATTGTTGAAAATTGACGAAGAGATAGTGAGGCCGACAAGACCACCAAACATGCGAATAGTTAGAAACTGCCCAATAGCTAAGCCTGTGTCATTAACATTCTTAACGCTCGCTTGCATCGGAAGAATGTTAAGGCGCAATAGTGCCACCCCTTGACCCCAGAGAATAGGGAGCCCGTAACATATGGATACTGAAGACCCTACTTCGAAGAGGGCTAGTAAGCCGGATCCTAGCGTAAGGACGACCCACGAAAGTCGTAGAAGCCACACATAACCTCCGAATAATGGTACTAGTATCATTGAGACGGCTGCCACTAAGACGCTGATAATAGAGGTAGGCAATAGGTATACGGCGGATAATATTGCGCTTTGGAGCTCTACAGCTTGGTAGAGTAAGGGCAAGTATTGTAAGAGGGAGACTAGCACCGCGCCGTGGAGGAAGCCTCCTAATAAAGTCACGTTTCCGGTCTTTGAGTGGAAAATACGATGAGGAACGATAGGATCGGTAGGCTTTCCCTCGTAGAAGCCAAAGGCGATAAGCACCGCCACTCCTAAGAACATTGGAAGGAGAGTCTGCCAGGAGGACCATGGATATAAGGAGCCCGCCCAACTCATCGGAATAACTAAAATCGAGATTCCGATGATTAGAAGCGCTATTCCAATCCAGTCGAGGCGCTTTAAATTCCCAACAAGCGTGGAATCGAGCGGAATAGGCCGAAGTTTAAGGAAGATGATAACCAAAGGTGTCCCAATTCCGAGCCATGGGAGGTTGATCCATCCGATCCACCTCCAGGAGGCATACGTGGCGAATAACGCCCCGACAGTAGGGCCCATAATATTACCCACAGCCGACGGAATGGCCATTAAGCCTAGATATGTCGAGCGTTCCTCTAGTGTTGTCATATCTGCGAGAATCACCTGCACCAACACGTCGATTCCTCCACCACCGAGACCCTGGAGGACCCGCCCAATAATTATAATACCCATATTTTGCGCTGTAGCAAAAACGATAGAACCGACGAAGAACAGTCCTATAGATACATAAAGAGGGGGTTTGCGACCGAACTCGTTAGAGATGCTGGCCCAAACTGGTTGCATTACTAGACCACAAAGAGTATAGGCCAGATTTGCCCAGAATGACTCTAGACTCGAGGCCTTCAGTTCACCAGCAATGGTCTAGTGATGGGGATGAGTATTTGGGTAGTACGCGGATGGGAATAGATGCGATGGCTTACTGGAAGGGCAATGCTTAGGCATGTCGCATCCAACTGGAACACGAAAAGACTCGCTGCGAGCCCTATGAACGCGAGCTTGAAGGAAAGCGACTTTGGCTTTTTGGTCGTTGATTCAGCATCATCCTGCTCATTTTGCTCTGTTGGGGAGTGTGTATCCCTGGTCTCAGTCGCTTTCTCCACGCCCTCGACTTCCTCCAAGTTTTGTTCCAATCTCGGTCTGTCTGGAATAGCAGAGATCTCGGTAAGTGGGCTAGAAGTGGCCTCAGAATGGATCATAGTGCTTCCTGAGCAGATTGACTGGCGCAAGAACATAAAATGTGGGGAGAGACAGGAGATTTGAGAGGCTGATTGAGCAAAGGTAATGGGTGGACAAAAGTACCTAGATAAAGAGATAACATTGGATGATAGAGTCAAATCCGGATTTCCATTTGTTTGGCGGGATATTAATTCTTCCGGCTGATGCCTACATAAAGATTCTGGACTGGACTTTCTTTGTTCATACGCGAGATTGGGAGCTGAGACGGGAGCCCCACTCGTGGACGTAAGCATCTATAATGCACCTACAATCCCGAGGTCGCCGATTGGATACATAGAACTAGTACGTACTAAAAGGATTGGATATTAGCTCCAGTATGTGGCTCCCACACGTCGGGACGGCCCAGCCCATGAGTCCGAGTCCGCTTCTAGATGATCCACATTCTAGGCATCCACTAACGTAATCGGTAAGCGAGTGGCCACCGTACCCCAACTCACTAAATTTAAATGCATTTATCTCAACCAAAACGCCATTAAATTAAATAAACTAAAATCATCATCTATCTAGACATATATCTCTTCTATAGCCCTGATTCTTACATAGCCCACATGCTGGTAAAACCCTAGTTCTTGGCTGCAGAGGTGGCGAAGGCCTTCTTCGTGGAGGGGTTATAGGTGCTTCCATTGCTTCCACCGGCTGCATAATTAATGCAGATGCTTCTTGAACTGAGAGGCCCTTTTCGGCAGGTATCTGCCTCCGGGATCTGCCACGCTTTCGCTTCTACTTCTCGTTGGCGGCGCGTAATTCGCTCACTTCTTTCTCAAGCAAAGCCGCAGATTGCATAGTGATTCGGCAGGCTTTTAAAGCATGGTTTATCGCAGAAATTAGCGGGCTTGGAGGGCGCCTTGATCTCGTACGAAGCAATTTTGATCGAGGAAGCTTGTTTCTGAAGTCGTATATAGTTGGCAGGCATTTTTGGCTCCCAATCGCTACCCCGGCTAGATGGGGGGTCGGGGTTCGAAACCGGATCTCAGATTTAAAGGCTTCCATTCGTGCGAGGGGGTATGCTTCGAGGAAATCAAGTTTATCAATATGATTTATCCCGACCCGCATTTTTAATTCAACCAGCCGACCGTACGACCGTTTTTAAGACCGTAAAACAGCCGATATCGAGAGGTTGTAAAAGATAAGATAAAGCGCCGGCATACAGATTGGTATCACCTTATTTCTCTTACAAATTTCGTCGAATTTAGGTGTTAAATACTTCCGTGACCGTCGAGTATCAAGAGCCGATATACCCCCCCCC